AAAGTGAAGAAATAATATATAATATACAGTAATAAAATAAAACATAATATTCATAATACAAAACATAATACATAATAATTAGTCCTAAAGTTAGTACTTTCGATTTTCTATCCCTTTATGACATGTAACACAATAATAATGGGAAATGCAGGTAGAACAAATATAACTTGAATGGTGTGTCGTTTATTTCGGACTGTCGTTTGTTTGTTTCGTCAAAAGATTCACGCAATAGTAACAAGAGGCGGTGCAGTCCAAAAATTAGGTCGCGATTTTACCAGCATGTCGGATATATCCGGCGTTCGTCCCCAGAGGGCGATCATGTGGATGTCGGATATATCCGTCGTTCGGAGCGAAAGGGTTAAACATTAATTATATCGGCTCATGCCCCATTGCATATACATACAATTCTCGTTCGAAACACTTTTCTATAGAAGAAACAGTTTTCGGAGTTATTTAGCTGACAGATCTTGGTCGACCACCCAGTATATGCACATATTTATAGATCTTACGAACGACGCGGCGCGGTCAAATGAATCTCTGCATTATGAACCTCGGAAATTGAGAGCGCGCTAACACAGAACTGCTAGGCGGCAAAATATTCGAATCAGTGAAACGGTGGAGGATGCGACGGAAATGGTGTCGCCGGTAATTCTGCCATGTAATTAATGTAACTTCGTCGTAAAGACAGGAATGTCGCATTAAAGATAAACACGATAAAGCAATTTTGAAGAATCGAATACTTATTCATTGTTGCGTTGTTTCTTCAAAGAATGAATATTACAAATGAAATGATTTCTTGTTCTCTCTTATATTTTCACAATTTTTATGCAATTCTCTGAAGGTTAATTGCACGTCAGCTGTAAATGAAAATTTTTTATCGTGTACGCAGATAAAATAGTGATCAAAAAGATTTTTCATTCACATAGATTAATAATCTAGTGACTTATTTATTTTCTTCTTTACTTAATATTTTAAATCAGTTATTAGACTGATTAGTTTTGAATTAGTTTTTATTTTAAACTAGTTTTTATAGTAATAGAATATTGTTACACGTAGCTTATGTATTTATTTAACGTTTTCATTAGATTTATGCAGCAATACAATATCTATTTATTTAACGTTTTAAACCAATAGATTTATCAGCAATACAACATTGTTGCGTACAGTTTGTAACGAATAATTCGAAACAATATTTATGTCGCGTCATTTGCTGCGATTCAATCGAATGCTAACAACTTAAACGCGTTGCGAATAAATACTCTGCAGTTTTTCTTGTTTCATTTTTCTTGTTCATAAAATATTCCGGATCGAATGGAAGTGGCTTTGATCGAATCTTTCTGGCTCTGTAGTTCGAACAGCTGAATACGTTTCAAGAGATCTGCGTGATTGTTGAACTTCTGCATTGTTGGGAAATCCGCATTGTATTACTACGCGTTTGACATTTTAATTTAATGCAGGCGATATTTAATTAACACGAAGAAAAATTCTCTCTGGTTTAAGTTTTCATTTTATATTTTATATTCACCCTGTCGACGGTGTGAATATCGAATTTCGAAGTTTACGAAGAACATTTTTCACCGTTTTCCATTTGACATTTCGATGCTGACGGAAGCAATATGTTCCGCTTCGAAACGGTTCGTCGAAGTTTATCCATAAATTACTTGGTTCAAAGAAAACGATTGGCGATTTACTTTGTTTAAGTACACACACTCTATCGACGCCGTAAGTTAGTTTCCTTAAAACAAACGACCCGCGTGTTGTTGTTTGTGTTCCCCGTTATGCCATACGATTACTGCATGAAATTTTGAAACCGTTTGTAGCTTAGTCGAGAGTGGAATCCAACCCTTTGATACTACAATACGAGAAAACTAATCGCAATGCTACATTCTCTAAACTCTGAAAGCAAATGTTACGAACGCGATCGATCGTGACGTTCGAATTTTGTTATTTGTACAACGTGATCAATTCGAAATTTTATTCGTTCGCGTTGCACGCTTATACACAACAACGCGAATATTATTCAAGTCTCTTGTCAGTAACTGAAATATTTCGTGCGATGTTCGACAAGTTGAATGGTTTCACGCGGAAAACTATTGCTGTACACACACACTAATCCTGAGTTTTAATATCTCCACGAAATATCGTTTTTCTAATCAAATTTTAATTGTCTTCTTCTTTAATACTTTTCTTCCATTTGCATCCGAATTACCTCTCGAGTCCACTGAAAACTGTATTCTCATAATTACGAAGCAGCTATTGGGTCGTAAAATCTCAGCACGAGTTACACCTTATTAAATTAATCCTCTTAAACTGCGGATGATCTTTTTTTGCCTTCCTTCTGTGTATTCATCTGTTCACGATATGCATTTTAACGCGAACGCCGCAAGGAAAAAAATCTTTCTGTCCAACTCGGTATAATAATTTGTAAATGTAATTAAAAGGTATTTCACTGTAAATATTTCGTGTCGCTGTGCCATATGAACTAAAATGTTCAAGTAAAATTGCTTCATGGAGATGCATCAGAACTTGTATGTGTTCTAGAACAACAAAGTATCCGGTGACTTATGAACCAGAATATACGTTTTCACATATAACGCACTCCCCAAAAATACAAATAAATGTTGTTGCAACGATACGAAAAACCGCACTGCTCCCTTCACAGAACTCCGACAGAAGTTTCTGGTAGACCTAACATACAGAGTGTCTCGTTTTACATGCATTCGTAAGGCGCGTTGCTTTGTAAGAATGACATAACTTTATTTATCAGACCTTTCGACCATTTCTACTATAACGTCGGTCATTTTCGTTAGAAAGAGTCTTCAGAATTTCAACAATTTTGAAACAACGAATGTGAAACCGGTTGTATTGACCGACTCCGGTGATTTAGCGTTAAACAACGACCATAATTTAACGAAACAAGAGTATAGATAAATTGTTGCTGATAAAAATAACATAGATTTTATTTTTAACGATGGAAAAAATGTTATTTTAAAGTTTGGCTAAAGTAAGATTGGAGCAGAGTGTTCTATGTGAACGTTTTATTATAGACGATTATTAAAGCTTATCTTTATCGTGTACTTGGAATTATAAACCTAAGACAATAGCATTATTTGGAAATTAATACATTTGGAACTTATCGCCCCGTTTGAATACTAAAGAAATCGTTCTTGTTGCGAAGATTCTCGACATTTTGGAGAATGAATATGTTTAGTAATTCTTGAAGCAAATCTTTTCGGATGAAGCCTATATTATATTTTTATTTTTAGACGAAACCTTCGCCGATTTATACGTATTTAGATAATCGAAGCATTTTCCGAGAGATGAAATTCCGCTGTGATATTTTCGAAGTACGGTTCTACGGTGTTATTCTTTCAGAAAAAATGTAAAAGGCAAAAAATCGATGTCCTTAAAGGTGTCATCGTGGTTCTAAAACCTTTAAGGGGATGTGCTCGTTTAGAAGCTTCAAAGAGTCATTTTTTATAGCGCGCCATTGCAGCGTCTGCCTTTGAAAATATTCCTATGAAACAAAAGATCCAATGTTCTTGAAATAGTTCGGATAGAGGGCATCGAGGCGTGTATATCTTTCGTCCGTATTATTATAAATCGATCGTACCGTGTCGAATTCTTCCAATGTTTTCATGGTAATCAGTATTTCATAGCTCACAAAAATTTGCATGGCAAAGCGAATTTTAATGAACCAAGTTTCAAGCGGTTCTGCTTTCAAATCGTTGTTTAATGCTAATACACAATGGAACATGTAAATTCTACCCTTAAAATTGATTGTACATCGTGCGAGGCAAGTGACTGAATTATCGGCTGGATCGTTCACCGAATTCTCCCGAAAGTAAAAGATATTTCACGACGATTTAAACTCCACTTTCAAGATTGAATGTTCGAATGTTTTCCATTCTCGCTTCTTCAACACTCGATCGACGAACCTTTTCGGCAAAACGGGTGAAAATTGAAATGCATTGTCACAAATTTCTTGGTAATAATACTCTATTAATATTCTATTAATACTAATACAAATGTCGACAAAAACACTGAAACACACATACAAAAACTATGAAACTCAGTATATGCCTAGAATCATTTATAATTTATCCTAGATCTCGATGAAACGGGTAAAAATTGAAATGCATTGTCACACATTTGTTGCTAATAATCCTCTATTAATACTCTATTAATATTAATACAAATGTCGACACTATTTTCCCCCACAATATTTAGATACACATTCCATTTTTCAATCGTATCTCACTTCTCATTTATTGTTCGATCAATCAAAGAGCATAATACAAATTTCCTGATAGAAATTGTAATTTCAACTTGCAGTGAAAGTCGAGAGAAAAATAAGGCGATCGAGCCGCCACGCAACTGGCTTAACAAATGGCGGTATTTGCCCAGCGTTCACAGTGAAATTGTATCGTCTTCGATAGGAATCTCTCCGCGCGTCGCGGCAAGGGTAGAATAATTCAGTTAGCCGTGATATAATTTAATTTAGCCAAGCGAGATCACAATGGTGAAAATTTCAGCATGGAATAGCTGACGGTCGTGCAGTCGCGTGACTAATGCGCCGAATGAATTTCCACTTGAGAACAATGATGCACAACTAGTTAGCGCCAGCATGCCACGGGACATTGGGTGTAAACGTTGTGATTCGGTTGCGGAATCAGTTATGGCGACCGTGTATTTGAACGCACGATGCTCATTGTATGTTCCAGTGAGGGTGAACGACTCGCAGCTCATCATGCTGGCGGAGAAGGCGCGCAACGATCACTCCATGAAAGGAAATTTGCATAAGCGGACCGCGGACTCGGCTAAGTGGCAATTACGGTGGTTCATTTTATATCAGGTGAGCCGGCTACATATACTTCTTTTCAGCCGAATTCTATTCGGCGACCATGTATTTTCGCAGCTTTCAGCCAAATCAGAGGGGTCTCGTCGCCGCCGATTTCGTTCTTCGAGCTTTCGGCTCTCAGATTTAGACGATTTTTAATTAACGGTTCCAGCGTGAAGTTGAACCTCGACACGGAACAAAACGTTTGACACCGTTTCGAAAGTCATCTCATATAGGTTCCAGTTACGGAATAATTTAATTATATTTATTTACGTTCTACTGCAATGTGCAATTCGAATTTCTTATTTGATTATAGTAATATGTTGCTCGTAATTGGATGTGAAATATAATTGCAAGGAACAATGTAATTGTATTTTCAGTTAGGGAATACGAATGACGAAATATTAAATAATGGAGGAGAACTGGCTGTAATTGGCTATAATTAAAATAAACTAATGTAACAAATAGATTGAATTTGCAGTTTGATAAGATTGTTATTCGTAAATTCATGCTATATCTTGGCAAATATAAAATGTTTTATGCTTAGTTTATAGTGAAGATTGAAACATACATTAATAATACAAAAGATAGCATAATACATAATATTGATAAGAAAACGCAGTGATTATGCGATGCGATCTGTTAAGAATAATTTTTCTTCAGAAATAAAGTAAAGTACACTGTTCAATAGAAAAAAGTCAATAAAAAGATGTAATTCAATTACAACGCAAGTATACAGTGGAATTCAATTACACTCACAAATAAAGTATTAAGCAATTGCATTAATTGAAAGGTTCGAATTAATTCAATTAAATTACTAAGTACAGAGCGGCAACTATTGGATTGTATCGTATCTGCAGCTTTGCGTCGCGTCGTCATCGTAGTCCAAAATTATAATGTTCACCCGGTAGACACACCGCTGTGCGGGACTCCCTGCGCAGCAGCATTTAAATTTAAATATTTGTGAAGTTTACCAGACAATCGGTTGCTGATTTACAAATTATAATTTAATTATAATTTTGTTTATTTGTAAAATAGCAGTTTAATCCAGGAAAAACTGAAGGTTTTTCATAAAAGCTTGCGGCATATATAGTGTTAATATTTTGCAATTTTTATTTTGCATAAAGATCCACGGTCTAACAAACATAAAGTGTGGTATAATAAATGATGTCTCGTTTTAAGCTCAATGCAGTTGCCTGGAAGACCCAAACATAATGTTTCGCTGGTTCTTGCTTTACACTATGAATCAACAAATTGTATTTCATTTGCAATGTCACATTTTAAAGGATATCAGTCATAGAGAAACGATAGATTTTTCACAAATCTAAGAAAATGAAATGAATACGATTGGTCGTATTTGGGACCAAATTCCGCGGTAAATTTACTGTACACTTCAATCGGTAGCAAACGTTTCATCTCTTCGTTTGATCCTATAAGCAGAAGTAAGGCGAAGCAACAGCGAGTCCCATTTAACTCGTTATCACTGTTCAACAATGTATTACAGCTGTCTGCGATTGTCACGGAATTGTTTTGTTCTCCCGAGGAAGCTAGATTGGTAAAGACAGTGGTGATTCGCGACTGCAGCTTCCTCTTTGTTCCATCTGTGACATTTCATCTCAGCCAAGTAGTCCCTATTTTGAACGTACTGAACCGACGCGACTGAGAGTGAGAGCTGCGATAAGTTACTGAACTGTAAAGCGCCTTTTACACTCCCATTTCTACAAATCACAGGGAACTTCAATTGTTTTCTGGTTCAATGCGCAGGTGTGCAATATCGTGAAACGATTCCTTAGTGCTAGCAACTTTATCTTTCGCCGATGTTCTTTCGAATCCCCAGCTGAATTTCGCATAATTTTCAGCAACACTGCATTGAGCAAGAATACGTTTGAGTTAATTAATTGAATCAATTAATTACTTAACGCGAAGTAACGGAGATACATTAGATGATTTAACGCAACGACAGAACGAGAGATGCAACAATTTGACAAGACTCTGTACCAATGATTGTTAACATCGTAAATTGTTTTAATTACAAATGTATCTCTTTCTTTCATTTATGCTACTACAATATTGTGGATCACATTATGTAAATATAAATTCTTCTACGATTATTTTTGTATAAAATCTGATTTCTTAGACGATTCTCAAAAGGTTACATTTTTCAATCATCAGTTTAATCTGGCTCATTTTGTTAGAATTCCTTCGGAACTAATTAGATAATAATGAATAATTTATTTTCTCTGCAGTCTGCTCGGCGATGGAAAATTGGCTTTTATTTTAGAAATATGAAGACCTTGAAACTTGAAAAAACACAGAGCAATGTAATAAACGTGCGAACAGTGGCGTACGCGGCCCAGTGAACCACATAACGTGCACATGATCCAATTTTCGTTAAGGTCATCACTAAAGTGGTTGTTAACGTGATTACGGTTACCTGTTTCGTCTCGTATTCGATAAATACGTAGCACATTTAATAGAGCTTGCGGTCTTGCAAATATTATATAATTTGTGTTATTCAACATTGACAATTTTGCAATATTAGTATTTAATATAATCGAATTCAAACTGCACAGCGTTGAAATCACACGAAATAGCATAATCCACTGTAATTTCCAAGAGAAAAGTCGAGTTTCGATGCGATTTTTACGACTCTAAATTAGTTTCCTGTATCGTGTAGGTATATGTACATTTTTGTGTGTTGTAATTGATTTTATCATATTATAAATTATACTAATAATTTATGTTATATATGTATATAATTACTAATATAAATTATTAATATAATATAATAATTATATTATTAATATAATTTATAATACTCATAATTTGCCTTTAAGTTATCGACATTATTTGAGCACGGATTAATTGATCATGTTAATTAATATTAATTAATTTCTAACAGTAATAATAACGTAGTATTTACGATTTTGATGGAATATTATTCAGAAACAATAGAATCTTCATGATATTGAACATCCGTTTTGCGAACTATCTATCATTGTTGATATTTTATTCTCAGTTCGTGTATAAAATAATAAAATCACAGAAAACTAAACATTTACTAGAAAATGAAATAGAAATTACAATGTTAGGGTCACCGATGATTCAATTCTATCAGTAAAGGGTTGATACATCTTTCCTCGAATTAGAGAAATATCATTTCTGACCGAATGAAATTTGATAGAAATTGCGTGGCCGAAATAATGATCGGAAAGTTTGTTCGACCTTTCTGCAAGTAACTGATGATGGGGATGATGTTTGTTTCAGAACTTGCTGTTCTATTACGAGAACGAACAGTGTTCCAGGCCCAACGGCGTTGTTTTGTTAGAGGGTTGCTACTGCAAGCGGCTCATCATCGCCAGAGGCAAAGAGTCCGAGAAACAGGTAGGTGTACACAGCTTTTAGTCTTTGCATTGTGTCGAGCTTGCGCGCGCGCGCGATACTCCCTACTACAACGACAGTGTTGTAAATATTTCTTTGACGGTAAACAGACAGACGTTACGTTTCTCAAATGGTAATTATTAGCGTGCTAAAAAATTACATTAACTTTGAGCAAATAACTGATGTATGTTACTAAATAAATCTGTTGGATGCTAAAGGTTTGACAATACTATTAACCCTTTGCACTCGAAGTCATTTTAACTCCAAATCCAAGATAGCTTTTTCTGACCTACGCTGTTTCTATTTTATACGACTTAGTGCAGTTTATGCACATCAAATCGAGTCTTGCAACTTATAGAACAGCTATCCTTGTAACAGTCTTTTCGATATAAACAAACATGATAACGTAAAAATGATTTTGTAACGTGATATAACGATCTTCAGCGGTGCCTCAGAGTCACCACCCGAGTGCAAAGGGTTAAATTAGCATTTTAGAAGCTGTTTCTAGTTTCCTTTGTTGACAAAACAGTATTAAATGAAAATTGCAAAAGACTTCGTTTATCGCGTTCGACGTAGGAATTGTGTTAGATTAAAATTGTAAAAGGTGTGGTTTTTATGCCTACAGTAAAAATGGAGTTAATTAAGAAAGATTCACAAATACAAGATCACAAAATTAAAGAAATATTTATTCATATATAAAATAAAATGGACATTTCGTATCTATCATTAAGTAACAGTTTATATAATTTCATTTCTTCGTTGGAATGTTCGATACGATTTAATTAATTAACTTGTGTATTTTATACAATTTCTTTGTACAGTACGGAATACAAGATACGATATTATACATATTAACTACCATGATTAATGCAAGAAGATGAAATGTAAATTTCGCAACTTATAACCTGTAATTAATACCGTGGATCACCAAGAAATTTGTGTGAAATTTAATTAATGTAATAAGCTAATGGGTACTCGAAATTAATGTCATTGCTATGTTATCTACAGACAAATATGACAACGTTATTGATGCCTCTTGGAGTAATCTAATAGTCATCTCCTCGTTACGCACACAAATGAAATTCAATATTGAAACATGGTCGTACCGGAATCAAACATTGCTTACACGAAACTCCGTTAGCATTGTCTGAGTGCAGCACGTTTTCGAAATCAAGTTCCGTTCGTATAGAAATTGTCAAATGTATTTCTCAATTTTGACCAATTGTCTTTCCTCTGAAAACTATAGACATTAATCGATTGAATGGATAATTTCGCGTAAATTAAGTCATTTAGTCGCGAAGTGGGATTACTAGGTTGCGAATCTTCATGCAGATTCTTATTCTCATGAATTGTTTTGTATAGTGTGGAGCAGTAATGCAGTAATTTTTATTATTAAGATATTAATAATAAATATTTATTAATAATATATATATATATTATTAATACACACATTTTCTCGCATTCGACGAACCTACGTATAAAAATCAGCAATCCAGTAATTACACAGAGTCGCGAAAATAGAAATAAGGATTAAATAAACCAACATAAAAGTTTATACTATGGATTGTTTTGTAAAAGATGCGACGACTGAAATAATTCCGCGATAGCTGACACTTCAGCTATATTTAGTGAAACACGTGCAAATTTCAATGGCAATTAATAAAATAAATAATTCAATTACAATATTTATATTCGGGGTCCAAATTGACCAGTGCCCCATCGTGCGAGTGTTAACTCGTCGTCGTTAAATGACACCTTAATGGGCAAAGGGAGAGTTGGGAACGCACAGAAATCGATGTCCAGGGCAATCATCCTAACAGCTCTTTTCGCAACCATTTGAATCTTCGCTCTATTTCAATAATCGATGTCGCTTACTCTACTCTCCGACGTAATCAAGATGCGAATAGACCGGGGGAAGATAACGGTCAACAACTCTCAAAACACCTATCTCCCTCGATAACATTCGCATCATGGCACAGACACTGTGTCCATTTAGCTGCCACTATTGGATGCTATACAAAATCAGTGATAGAGTGGCTGATACAGTAGTATGAGAAAGATATTGGTTCGGGAGTCCTATAGCAGCCAGTAGAGTTGCTGTTACCACGTGAAAGAGAGAGAGAGAGAGAGAGAGAGAGAGAGAGGGAGACAGAGAGAGAGAGAGGGAGAGAGAGAGAGAGAGAGAGAGAGAGAGAGAGAGAGAGGGAGAGAGAGAGAGAGAGAGGGAGAGAGAGAGAGAGAGAGAGGGAGAGAGAGAGGGAGAGAGAGAGAGAGGGAGAGAGAGAGAGGGAGAGCGAGAGGGAGAGAGAGAGAGAGAGGGAGAGAGAGGGAGAGAATGAAAAACGTATCGGGTGTGAACGTCATATTTGTTCACCAAAAATCACTATGTACTTCTTAGAACAATTGTGAATGTTCCAACTGTAAAACTAAAAAGTAGTACTTCGATTATCCAATTCTCCAATATCAGAATTACGTATTGCGCATTTTATTATTATTGTGTATACTGATTTGTTTTCCAGCATAATTGACTTTATATTTATCGAATAAGATATATTAAATTTGTTTATTAATAAATAAACAAAATAAATGAATAAACAAATTTGATATGTTTTATTCGATAATTTTATCGAGAAAATAAACCAAAAGCACAGCAGTTCGTTTCGAACGTAGTGATGAATATCGATTTAAAAAGAGAAAGGGTCTGAGGTACGAGGAGTTCGGCAAACATTAAAGAACTCGTCCGAGATCAGCCTTCTATCTTCTACATTGGAACAATTGAAGTTCCTTATTTTCTATCTTTCGTCAATCGAACTTTTGCCATCGTATTCGACTTGACTTTTCTCATTATAATAAGTAAGTAATATGTTGAATTCCGAAACTTTAGAAATGTTAAGTAAAGATATTATTATATGCGTTATTATATGCAGATACTAATATATATATGCATTATTATATGCATATACTAATATATATGCATTATTATACTATTATATGCCTGTCTCTTATACACATCTAGATGTGTATAAGAGACAGGCATATAATAGTATAATAATGCATATATATTAGTATATGCATATAATAATGCATATATATTAGTATATGCATATAATAATGCATATATATTAGTATATGCATATAATAATGCATATATATTAGTATATGCATATAATAATGCATATATATTAGTATATGCATATAATAATGCATATATATTAGTATATGCATATAATAATGCATATATATTAGTATATGCATATAATAATGCATATATATTAGTATATGCATATAATAATGCATATATATTAGTATATGCATATAATAATGCATATATATTAGTATATGCATATAATAATGCATATATATTAGTATATGCATATAATAATGCATATATATTAGTATATGCATATAATAATGCATATATATTAGTATATGCATATAATAATGCATATATATTAGTATATGCATATAATAATGCATATATATTAGTATATGCATATAATAATGCATATATATTAGTATATGCATATAATAATGCATATATATTAGTATATGCATATAATAATGCATATATATTAGTATATGCATATAATAATGCATATATATTAGTATATGCATATAATAATGCATATATATTAGTATATGCATATAATAATGCATATATATTAGTATATGCATATAATAATGCATATATATTAGTATATGCATATAATAATGCATATATATATTAGTATCTGCATATAATAACGCCTGTCTCTTATACACATCTAGATGTGTATAAGAGACAGGCGTTATTATATGCAGATACTAATATATATATGCATTATTATATGCATATACTAATATATATGCATTATTATACTATTATATGCATTACTATATGCATATACTATTATAAGCATACTAATATATGCTAATATATTAATAATAATACTAATATATATATATGCATTATTATACTATTATATGCATTATTATATGCATATACTGTACCAGCGAACATCTGAGTACTCAGTCTCCTAATACCATTCCAATTAACCGATCGCAAAAACTGTAACGTATCAATTAACTCCTGATAAATTCATCGTGGCATTATAAAGCAGAAGGAAAGTTACAGATTTCTGACCGCCGTGAAAGTAGCTCCATCTCATTGTGCTTCGATAACGAACTCATTAGCCTTGTTAACCGTGTGGTCGTTCGCATGCGTTTGCTCTGTTTGTATTTCGGGCGGACACAGCATTTGAGTCATGTGTCTCGTCAAAGAGCATAAACAGGGCCACGGATAATTGCGTTTGCCTTTCGAGGATTATCGAGGGTGACTATCGTTATCGTTTAGAATCGCTCTCGTCTTGCGTGTACGCTACCGTGACACCCGGGTGACATCCGGGTCAAGTGCCATGAGAAACGCTCCACGTGCAAGTCGAGTGCGTTTTAGCAAAAACACACCGGTGTTAGCCCGGAGCGTGCAATTTGCGTTCCTGTCCCTTTGTTGTCGAGCTAATGCAACCGTTCGCAATCCGCATGAATTACACAGAGTTCGGGGAATCGAGAACTCTGCGTCGCGCACCGGTATAACGTGGTGACACGCAGTGGTCGATTTCCTTAGAAAATTGGACTAGAAGGAAAGAAGATTGTTAAGTAACGTTGATGGAAAATCCAAACAGAATAGTACAGGAATAGGTTTACTAACGCATCGAATGCGTTAAAGCACTTTTGTCATCCCCCCTCCCCTCCTTATTAGCTGCAGCACTGTCACTGTTGTCGCTATTGGCTAAAAACGATGACGAAGATCAACGGCGGTCAATAGCGACTGATAGTTGCGGCAGTGGGGCAGCTAGTAAGAGGGGGGGATGTGAACAGAAAGATGCCTTATTGTCGCGTGAGGACTATAGCTGTATTTAGCAGCGTTTAAATCATATTCTGTATTTTTGTCGTAAATTCTCAACAAAATATTTACGGACTTCTTGTTACATTACATTTTAGTCTTATTTTTTCCTATAGCACAC